CTATGGAGAACAGTATGGAGGTTCCTTAAAAAACTAAAAACAGAATTACCATATGATCCAGCAATCCCCCTACTGGGCATATACCCAGAGAAAACCATAATTCAAAAAGACACACGCACCCCAGCGTTCATTGCAGCACTATTTACAATAGCCAGGTCATGGAAGCAACCTAAATGCCCATCGACAGACGAATGGATAAAGAAGTTGTGGTACATATATACAATGGAATACTACTCAGCCATAAAAAGGCACGAAATTGGGTCATTCGTTGAGACGTGGATGGATCTAGAGACTGTCATAGAGAGTGAAGTAAGTCAGAAAGAGCAAAACAATTATCGTATATTAACGCATGTATGTGGAACCTAGAAAAGTGGTAGAGGTGAACTGGTTTGCAGGGCAGAATTTGAGACACAGATGTAGAGAACAAACGCATGGACACCAAGCGGGGAAAGCTGCCGTGGCGGGGTGGGGATGGTGGTGTGATGAATTGGGTGATTGGGATTGACGTGTATACACTGATGTGTATAAATTTGATAAAAAAAAAAAAAAAGCTACAGGGACTTTTAAGAAAGATTCTAAAGGACCAGTATGTCTGAAGAGACCAAAAGAAGTTAATTCACACCATTGCCTATGTTACCTGGCTTCTGGGGTTTTTGTTGCGGGGAAGGGGTGGAAGTCAGCCCCATGGCACTACTTTATATTAGACTGTGTATATTAACATCTTTTAGTACTGGAAGGAGTTTAGGGACTATATAGTTCTAACTCCCCTTATTCATTCATGTGTTTTGAGCAACAGTTGTCTATTGAATTCCTTCTTTGTACCTAACATATAATAGGATCTACCATTGTGGATGCTGGATATACCATGGTATGCAACACAGACCTGCCCTAATATAGCTTAGGATCTAATAGGGAAGACAGACATTAATCAAATAGCCACGTAAATATGTAATTACACATTGTGGCAAGTGCTGTCTTTAGAGGGAAAATACAGGTTGTCTGAGACATGGATTAGGAGGGTAGACTCAGATCTGAGAAGGTCAGGGACAGCTGGGATCTCAGGTGAAGGGCTTTCTGGGCAAAGTCTCTGGAACAGAAACCTCATGGCCAGTGGGGAACTGAGAGTACGCTAGTGTGAGGGTGGGTGTTTTCTGAATGAGGAGAGGGTTGAACATCCCACTTCTGCTGAGTCAGGAGTAGAAGTACGTCACCTACTGTTCCAATTTTCTCTTTCTTTTCACATTGAAGGAGACTTACTCAGAAGCCTGGACCTGTGACATTTGCACAGGAAGAATTATTTCCATCCAAAGACAGAATCTTCCCCACTTCCCCATGGCCTCCAGTCTCCCTGAGCTTGGGCTCTGTTGCTACCCACATCTCCAGATCTTCACCAAGGCACACTGGTGTCTCATGAACCAAGCAAGGTCATTTCTGTTGACCCTCTTTCTAGACTACTGCTTCTGTTCACTCAGCATAGCTCATGAAGATCAGTTATGGTTGATAAAATCATGTGTATGATCAAAAACTAGCTTAAGATGAAGTTTATACACAGTATGATTGCAACTATATAAAAATTACCATGCATTAAAAAAGACCAGAAGGAAATAAATAAAAAGAACAGTGATGTCTTGTTGGTGAAATCTTTTTTTTCCTTAATTTTATTTTTTTTATTGGGGTATAGTTGTTTTACAATGTTGTGTTAGTTTCTGCTGTACAGTGGAGTTCCTTGTGCTATACAGCAGGTTCTCATTAGTTATCTATTTTATACATATTAGTGTATATTTGTCAATCCCAATCTCCCAATTCATTCCCCCCTACTCCTTTCCCTGCTTGGTGTCCATACGTTTGTTCTCTATATCTGTGTCTCTATTTCTGCCTTGCAAATTGGTTCATCTGTACCACTTTTTTAGATTCCACGTATATGTGTTAGTATATGACATTGGTTTTTCTCTTTCTGACTTACTTCACTCTGTATGACAGGTTCATCCATGTCTCTACAAATGACCCAATTTTGTTCATTTTTATGGCTGAGTAATATTCCATTGTATATATGTACCACATCTTCCTTATCCATTTGTCTGTCGATAGACATTTAGGTTGCTTCCATGATATGGCTATTGTAAATAGTGCTGTAAATGAATATTGGGGCTAGTTGGTGAAATCTTAAATGTCTTTTTTTTTGCTTTTCTTTTCATTTTCTAGATGTTACTTAATAAAATTATAGTACTCTTAAAAGAGAAAGTCATATTGAAATAATAATATTAAGGAGATGTCAGATCTCTTCCTCACTACTCAAATCTTCGATTTTTCTTTGATGTGAAGGACATACTTATAGGGGTTTTAGAAATGTTTTAAATATGAGCTACAGAGAAGCATTGGGTATGAGTAATAGCATGACAAGGCACAGCATTTCACAAAACATTTCTATAGGATGGAATTTTTATTTAAAACAGAATTCTGTTGTTGCTGAGTCTGGGGGATGCTGGTTTAAACTAGGTTAAGCGGATTTCTCCACTGTCAGACTTCTCTGAAGCAGTCACTACCTAGTGGGTTCGTGAGCCCAGGATGGGGAGAGAGCATGCAGCATTCCCCAGACTTCTGGGAAACTTTCTTCACTCAGGTCCTTCCAGGCTTAGTGCCCTCTGGAACATGCTTTCGAAAATGCTTATGTGGGGAAAGAGAACAAAAGCTGGTGGCTCCTGGGGCTCTAGATGGATCAAGTGATGTATAACTATCTTTACTACCCATTCAGCAAGTCAAACTGCTCTGGACCCAGTTTTCTACTATAAAATAAGAGGATTGGATGAAATGAACTTCTAGCTCTAAAATGGGCCAGGTATGAAAAACAAGTGAATATGCTTGTAGGTTTGTGACAATGAAAGGCAAACTCCCCGAATGTTCAAACAGAGAATTTTCAGACAATCAAGCTTTATCCTTCCCTAAAGGCAGCAAGCGATGCCAAATTTTTATTCTGCAATCCATTTGGAAGACAAAAAACATTTGTTCCAGTTCAACAGGTTAGCATTCCAGGCTGCTATATACAGCAGGAAATGCCGTCAATTCCTGTGTCAATGCTCTACCCGCCCTTCTCAAGCACTTGCCAAATGAAATGTAGTAAAAGTTTTCCTTTCTCAACCACCTCACTGTGTAAGGCCTTAGAGAAACAGGCTGATAGGAGCAAGGCTGGTTCCTTTGCTCTACTGGAAGAGTATCTTTCATGTCAACATAGTAGACAGAATAGAACATCCTGATTCCAGATAAAGGCTTCTTGCTGCCGCTGTCTCGCTTTTTTTTATCATATACTTCTGTGGTTAGAACATCTTCTGACAGGAAGAATTCAGGGACCCTGCTAGGGAACAGCAGGATTTTCTGCTGTGTAACCCCTGAGGCTTTTGCTCCACGCTGAGAGGTTTCCCACAGGTTCAAAGGCCCCAGACCTCAGTTAGACCCGTGTCTGCTCACAAAGGTCACCGCCTAAGCCGGTTCTTGGTTTGATCTCACTGCAAGCCTAGTTGCTGAGGAGTCTGTGCAGCTTCCTTCCTTGCTGCTCATCTGAGCTGTGGCCCTCACAGTGCGATCTGCCACTTGATAATGCTTAAGTCAGCAGTTGTTTTACATCTATCCCCTCATATTGTCTTATCACCTGGGAAGAACCTAAAAACTCCAGGGAGAAAAGAAGGCAAGAATTAGAATTAAACTCCTTGGACCACTGCGGATAGCTAAATGTAGAGCTTACTGAGGTGTCAAATTTTCTTCCATTTCACCCCAGGGAGTATCACTGTGCTGCTGTATGAGCATCCTTGACCTTCCATAACATCTGCAGTATTCTCTGCCTCCTTCTGCACAGTGGGGCTTCCCTGTGGTAATCAGCATTATGCCCCCGTAAAGAAAAGGGCCCGCATGCTTGCTTCGGGCAAAGTGATTAGGTGACGGAGCCTGGATTTGGATCAGAGTCAGACCCAAGACCTTGTGCTCCTTATACAGAGGAACAGAGGAGCAAGGTCCAGACTATAGTTTTCAAATTGGTGCCCCACTTAAAGACCTGACTCTGATCGAAAACCAGGCTCCGTCACCTAATCACTTTGTATCTTGACTAAATTACTTAACCTCTTTGTACTTTAGTTTCTCATCTGTATAGTGGGAATGAAAACAGTATGTACCTTATAGTACTGGTCTAGCAGTTAAGTCAGACAATTCTTACAAAATAGTCCTCACAACACTTGGCTGGTGCGTGTCATGCCCTCATGAAATGTGATGTGGTGACTTTGTTCTTCTTTCTCTTCTGACCACCTAGTTCTTTCTCGCATTGTCTTTTTACCTTTCCTCCTCCACCTTCTTTCTTACTTTATTCTTCCATTCATTGCCTTCTATGCTTAAGAGCCAAAAGCATGAAGTTAAAGTACAAAGCTTTTAAAAGTTATTGAATACAACTTATAGTTATATTTGTAATTAAAAACAAGCACACTTAGTATTTTCCATGTCTCTTTTCCAGAGTACAGGCCACATACCAGACCAGTTAAATCACAAATCTGGGGGTCAGACATCGGCATCAGTAGTAGCCTTTGAAGCTCTTCAGATGATTCTAATATGATTCCAATGTGCATACAGGTTTGGGAACTGCTAGACTGATGGCTTTCTACTCCCTCTATATTGTCTCGGCTACTTCAGTATATGGTTCTGAATCTTGCCTCCAATTTAGAATCACCTGAGAAGCTTCTAATAATATGGGTGCTTGAGCCCTGCCTTGGCTAAGGCCTGGATATTTCTAATGTGCAACCAGCACCGAGAGCCATAGTTCTAGAGGGATTGGTGTCCTGGTAGATCTTATGATCAGCACAACTCCAGGCACTCACTCCACCCCAACCTACCCCCACTATGAGTTAAAATACTTTCTCCTCTGTGTTTTTGAAAACCCATGTCTTTGTCTCCTTTCTGTTGCAAGCTGAATACGGAGAAGAATGATGTAATGCTGATAAGTTCTCGGTTTGTTTTGCCCTCAGTTTGGGATTGTGCTGGATGCGGGCTCTTCTCACACGAATTTGTACATCTATAAGTGGCCAGCAGAAAAGGAGAATGACACAGGGGTGGTGACTCAGATAGAAGAGTGCAAGGTAAAAGGTAAGATGAAGAAAAAGGGACCGGGAGACAGTGGGCATGAGAGCATGAGAGGCATGTGGGAAGTGAAACAAACGCACGAGAAAAAGGGAAGTCAAGTGAGAACGCAGCGGAGCTGCTATCGTTGCTATTTTATAAATAATCATTATGAAACGGTACTGAAATCAGTCCTTAATGATGAAGCCCTTGAAAGATAAACTTGCAAATAATTGGGTAATAGTAACTCCCATCAACAGAACAATTCTATGTGCCATGCACTTAGTACTGAAAATGTGTTATTTCATCCTCACAATCTCCCTTTAAGGAGTGTATTATTATTCCCATTTTTAAAAAATGAGGGCACTGAGGTTGAAAGAAGTTATGGCACTTGTTTAAGGTTACTTGAGCTAGTAAGTGATGGAACTGGGGCTCGAACTGAAATCTGCCCAAATTTAACTAAACCCTTATCGGTCATGTGATTAGCAAATATTTTCTCCTATTCAGTAGGTTGTCTTTTCGTTTTGTCAGTGGTTTCCTTTGCTGTGCAAAGATCTGCCCAGCTTTAAACTCATGTGTTAGCCAGTGGTTCTCAAATTTGAACCTGCATCAGAACCACCTGGAGGGTGTGTTAAAGCACAGGTGCTCGCTCCCACCCCCGAGTTTCTGGTTCAGTAGGTCTGGGATGAGGTCTGAGAATTTGCATTTCTAACAAGCGCCCAGGTGACATTGAGGCTGGTGGATCCAGAGCCTTGCTGCTCTTAATCTTTGTCCTCTAATCTATGGCTTGGAAGGAATTTTCAAAAGCCTTTAGCTTCTGTATAGGCAGGCAAATCATAGACCCTTAGGGCTGCGAAAAGGACCTTGTGGATCACTGAAGTCTTTGTTTTATAGAAAAGGAAGCAAAAACCTGAAAGACTAGTGACTGGCAAGGAGGAACAGAACCAGGACAAGAATCTGGGCCTCCAAGTTGCACTGCAGGCTTCCTGCTACTCTGAGTCACCGCATTGTGTATTGTCTTTTCCTAGTTAGTTTCCTTTTAAGGTCACAAGACCAGTTAGAGTTGCGGACAGCAGCTCTTCCCGCTCCCTCCCGCCCAACACTCCTGCCCGCGCCCTCACCTTTCTGACCTTCATCTCTCTTGGCCTTTTTAGCCAGGGACTCACTGTTTAGTTTTGGTCAGACAGGTAACCTAGGCCCCAGAAGATAATTGACTTTTAGTTTGGTGGCCTGTGGTGTCCACTAATTTTCATAGTTTATCAAGAAAGCTGTAGATAGGATACGTTTCCAAGAGAGCAAGTCGTTCTACCCAGTAGCCTGATGTCCTCAGAATCCGGTCCCATCAGTTCTGAGGTAGTACTTCAAACATTTCTTAAAACCCAAATCCCTCATTTTATTGACTTCTATTTAATAATTCACTGCCTTCCGTTTCTTCTTCCACGTGTTGTTGTGGTGTTAACCTAGCAGCTGTCTCCTGAGACACATATCCCCATGCGTGTTTGGCCTAATAGATGCAGTAATTTTCCCTTCTCAAAAGATAGAGTTCTGGGGCTTCCCTGGTGGTGCAGTGGTTGAAAGTCCGCCTGCCGATGCAGGGGACATGGATTCGTGTCCCGGTCCGGGAAGATCCCACATGCCGCGGAGCGGCTGGGCCCGTGAGCCATACATAGCCGCTGAGCCTGCGCATCCGGAGCCTGTGCTCCGCAACAGGAGAGGCCACAACAGTGAGAGGCCCGCGTACTGCAAAAAAAAAAAAAAAAAAAAAAGATAGAGTTCTCTAATCAAATATTTAAATAGAAAGGTGAGTTGAAAGCTACCAGTTATTGAAGGCCAGGCTTTTTGAGTCAAAACACTTAGCTGATAACTTGGAGCCGATTTTCTCATTACAGTTAAGTAAACAGGCTATTTAAAATTTGGTGAATGAGATATGGATCAGATATCTGGTTACTTATTGTTAAAGCAAATCCTCACTATAAAGCACTGAAAATGTAGATGTTTAGCTTAAAGTGAGCCAAAATTGTTAACCGTTAAATAACTTCAAAAAGCGTAAAGCATCTTGGCTCTCTAATCCTCTCCACAGCAGCAGTTAAAACAGCTCTAAAAACTGGACAGTTTTACTAGGCAGACAGGGTATCAGAGTGGAAAAACTGCTGAGGAGACATGGGTTCTATGCCTGTTTCTTCTAACAAAGGAAGAAACATTGCTGCAGAAATTTTAGTGTTAGTAGCTGTTCCTGTCTTGTGCCTGGTACATATTTTAATTTTTGTTCTGTTATCTTTTGCCTTTCCCATCTTCTAGGAATTAGTGTTGCTAATTACAACTTCGTGGAAGAAGCGTCATAAAGCAGCTATATAGAGTAGTTATCTATAAGATCCCCATTTAAGTCTGAGAGAGCCTGGTTTTAGGAAGGTTATGCATGCAATTGAATGTGAAAATTGCGCCATCCAGTGGCAAGATTACTGAACAGCAGACAGACCCGGCTTGAGGTCCGAAAATAAATCCTACTGAGGCTAGATTCAGTGAGTTACCCTCTAAGTACAAAAACTTAACAGATATCACAAAAAGAAATTGTCTCCTTGCATTTTCTCAGAAAACATCAGTATTTTCTCTAATAATGTGAAGATATGTCCTTTACTTTTAAAAACAATTTTCATCTGCTTCTACATTTTTCTCTAGGTCCTGGAATCTCAGAATTTGCTCAAAAATTAAGTGAAATAGACATTTATCTGACTGCATGCATGGAAAGAGCCAGGAAAGTGATTCCAACATCCCAGCACACAGAGACACCTGTTTACTTGGGAGCCACGGCAGGCATGCGGTTGCTCAGGTATAGCAGCCTGTAGGGACTGAGAGCTGCAGGGAGATAGGTTTGGCAGTTGCTAGAGCCTCTGAGTTATGGGCGAATGCCACACTTCTCTAACACCCCAATTCTAGACATGCTAAATGTCCACACCTAAGAAAGAAAATCTCAGTTAAGTGGGTAAAATTCCCAAACCCTTAGCTTGCATAATGATGGGAGTTTAAGTATGTAAGAAAAAAAAAAAAGGCCTCTTGCTCATCTCCCCACAGGGAGTTCAAGGGAGTGATGGCACAAAAAGAGGAAGATTGAGCCTTTATACTCTGGGATTTGGGGCTACAGATTTAGCAACTCCACATCTGGGAGGAGGAAGGCCAGAGGAGACTCGCAGACATCCCGAGACACAAATCATCACAATTAGCACATCTTTACTGGTCACCACTTAGTATCTGTGGGCATTATTTGTTCATTTGTTTGTTCATTCATTCATTCAGTTTGTATTGACTGCCTGCTCTGTCCCAGGGCATGGAAGTAGGTGACTCATCTTCCAAGATCAGAGTTTTGATACAGGGTGGCCAATTCTTTGATAGAAGAGTGCTCAGAGCTGCTATGGGAGCATACTTGTCCCTGCCAAGAATGGGAGGAGGTCAAGAAGACTCACCAGAGGAGGGGATACATGAGCCAAATCATGAAGGACTTGTGGGGGGAGGGGGAAGGGCATTACAGGCAGAGCAGACATCATGCGTTCCATAACCTATGTTTATTTGGCACCTGTTATGTGTCAGGCATAAGTCCCTGCTTTCCTGGATCTTGTGTTCTAGTAGATGCACAAAGGAGTGATATGTGAGAGACCAGGGCATGTTCAGAGGACTATAGATAGTTCTGCATAGATAGAACGTAGGGTACATAGAGTTAATACTAATAATGACAATGGTAATGGTAGCAGCCTGTATTTGTTGGGCCCTTACTATGTTCTTAGCACTGTGCTTTAATTTAAATCACTGTAACTCTATGAAGTAACAGGTATTATTCACTATTATTAATCAGATTAAGGAAGCTATGGTGTACAGATGTTAAGTAACTCACCAAAGGTCACACACCTGGCAAGTGGTAGAGCCAGGATTCTGAGTGGGATTCTGTGAAGGCAAGATTTGGATCACAAAGTGCCTTGTGGACCATGCTAGGGAGTTTGAAGTTTATCTGGGAAACAATGGGAAGCCATTAAAGGATGTTACACAACCGGTGCCACTGGTAGAGAGGTGGATTGGAGGAGAGGAAAACGGGGGATAAGGAGGCCAGTTGATAGGGTGAGGGAGCCATTCAAATGGGAGATTACTGGGGTCTAATGCCAGTTGGAAGGCAGCATTTTCTGACCCAGAGACTCTCAGTATTATATTGCCTGGATCTTGGAAGCAGTTGTATTCCATCTTCATTGTGACAACCCTGGAAGATTTCTTCTTTAGATCTCAAGGTCTCAGACCCAAAAACCAAGGCAGAATATGAGAAAGATTTTTTACCCGACTCGGGCACCAACTGAGGTTGGGTATCTGTCCCAGGACGTTTTCCACTTGGTGTCTGCTACAGCCCTAATTAAAAACTTCAAGCAGAGCCTTGAGGCTACGTAAGCAGCTTGAAGCCACCGGCAATGGCTAATGTAGCACACATCAGCTCTAGGCTTGGTGATCAAACAATATCCAGCTACCACCACCACAGCAATTAAAATTACTCTGATAATTTCTTGGAGCCAGGGAACAACAATGAAAATGGTATTTTAAGAGGACCAACCTACACAGGGATTGGAAGGATCTGGATTTGGAGAAGAGGGGCCAAAAGAGTAGTTATGCTCCTCCCCAAAGGAGGGCTTCTCAGACAGCCATGTGTGGGGATCTCCATCCTTCTATTTATTGCAGTGAGCTTATGCTTCACTTCCTAGGGGAACTGGCTGGAAGCTCTGGCTGCAATGGGTAGTCATAGTTATTCAGACAAAACCAGTAACCTCAGCTCTTTGTGCAGGATGGAAAATGAACGGTTGGCAGACAAGATCCTGGCTGCGGTGGCAAACAGCATCAGCAGCTACCCCTTTGACTTCCAGGGTGCCAGAATCATCACTGGCCAAGAGGAAGGTGCCTATGGCTGGATTACTATCAACTATCTGCTGGACAGATTCACTCAGGTGATTGTCTCACAGCATCCGTGGAGGTGGCTCCCTGTGGGTCAATGCCATTGATATCTCAGGCAGTACTTGCATCACTAGACAGAATGAATGATGGATAAATGAACAAATTAATTTACCCTCACATTTGCAGGGGTCACCAGAGGTATAATTCTCTCACAAGAACTCTCACTATTGGAGAATAAGGAAGCCATATACAGAGATACAGAAAAAATTTTTTTTAATCTATCATTAAAAATAAAGATAGCTAACATTTGCGTAGTGCCGTGTGTCTTGTGCTATGCACAGCACTTTTCAAGTACTGTTTGACTTAATCTTCAGAATTACCATATGAGGTGTTCTCTCATTTTAGAGTCTCAAATCGAGGCCTAGAGGAGGCAATTATTCTGCCCAAGGTCACATGGCTAATAAGCCAATGAGTAGGGATTCAATGAGTAGGAACTTCAGTCTTTCTGGCCCCAGATCTTGTGTTTGTAAACTGTTCCTAAGTTGCCGCAGTCTGAGCTATGTCTTTGAAGCCTCTGTTTTCTTGCTGTTGATCTGATGCAGACTCAGGAACCTCTGGTGAGCTTTGTTTCACCCTTATCCTCCTGCTCCTTTGCCTTAGGAAGTCCCTGAGTCCAAGAAATAGCATGAAAAGGGGGATGTCCAGATCCTTCTACCACTGGTGTCTGTACTGTCTTTCAGAAATTGAGTTGGTTTAACCTGAAACCAAGTGAAGGCGATACTCAGGAAACCTATGGAGCTTTAGACCTTGGGGGAGCCTCTACACAAATCACTTTTGTGCCTCAAAACGAAACGACTGAGTCTTCTAACAACACTCTGCACTTTCGCCTCTATGGCAAGAACTACGGTGTATACACACACAGCTTCTTGTGCTATGGGAAGGATCAAGCCCTCTTGCAGAAACTGTCCAAGGACCTTCAGGCGAGTGTAACTGAATCCAGACCACCCTCCCCACAACTGGGCCGCCAGCCCCCCGCGTCCTTTTCTCTTTCTATTTCAGTAACTGATCTGAAGTTGGTTACTGTACTTGTCAAACCTTTTCAGGCAGGATATCTAACTACATCTGGTCAACCCCTGTGAATTGTCCCATCCAGACACCACCTCCTATGTTTGTTTACTGCACTGTCTCCAAGGACGTGACTCAAATCCTTTCTTTGGAAATAATTTCTCACCCCTGTGGGGCTGACAATGCAAAATACATGCTACAGTAGTGTGTGTATGTGTGTGTGCGTGTGCACGTGCACACAGTTTTTAAGCTCTTTCCCACTTTTCAATCTCCATTTCCTACGAACTGCAGAAAACGAGGCTATTAGAAACAACCTGGAGAGGAGGAGAAAAAAAACTTCAGGGAAAATGCAGAGTTTATTGATCAACACTTCAAATCTTGTCCCTAGACACTTTTTGTGTTTTGAAGGTGAGAAAAGTTAAACATACTCAAAATCATGCAAGTACCAGCACATCCTGACAAACACAGAGCAGGCATGTCAAATCCAGCTGTTCCCTGTCTCTACTGAAAGGACAACCAGTTCTCTGCTTTCCTCCAAAGCTCGCTTTCTGGTTCTCAGAAACACTATCAGTAAGATGACTGCCATGGGAGGAGGGGCTGCTGAGAGACGCCTAGTGATCCCTAAGTTTCCACTAAGCCTCTCATCCACAGCAGCCCCTTTACTTCTCTTGAACATACTGGGTTGTGGGTTGAAAATCATTTTGATACTCCTGCCTTAAATGATCTGAGGCACTTCCAGCTCTTGAAGCTTTTGCTTTTTGGCTTGGAGGTAGGGCCAGGGATATAGGCAGATCCCCAGAGAACTACCCTAGGCTCGGAATTTTGAGAGCCTTGAGTTTTCCTTGTGGATCTGCTTCTGACCTATGCAATTAGTACTAAGCGCTAGGGGCCATTCCAAACTAATGGAATTTCTGGGCCCAGCTTCAACTATATTAGCTTTCTGTGAATAGCAAAAGTTCATTTACATCTGATACCACTTCTGGTGCCTGTTATACAAATATGACTGTTACCCAAGGGTAAAAAAGGCAGAGCAGGGGCATATTGATGCCAGTGCTGAGTGCCTGGCTGTTTTACAATTGCTACACATTATTGAAGTCAGACTGGTGCTTTTGTACTCAAAGCATTTGCACATGATGCCTTCAAGTGATTTTTCTATTCAGGGTACAAATGGAACCATCCATGACCCATGCTTTCACTCTGGATACCGGAGGAAAATGAACATGAGTGACCTTTATGAGGCTCCCTGCACCAGGAGATTTGAGGCAACTTTTCCATTTCTTGCATTCCCTGAAGTTGAAATCCGTGGCACTGGAAACTATCGACAATGCCGGCGAAGCATTCTTCAACTCTTTAACACCAGTTACTGCCCTTACTCCAGCTGTTCCTTCAATGGGATTTTCTTGCCACCCCTCCAAGGGAATTTCGGGGTAAGTTTGTGACATGATGATATATTTGTTACAATGGCTTTTGATTGCAAATTACAGAACATGGGCCTACAAAGGGTTTAAAGAATAGGATTTATTTTTCTCTCACATGGTAATAAGCCTTGAGGTAGATAATTCAGGGTTAGTTCTTTAGCTTAATTATGTCAGGCCTTGGGTGCAGCTTTTCAGTTATTTTCTTGGCCTTATTGTGGTGCTACGATGGCAGCTATTGCTCTAACTAAGCATTATGTCTTCACATGCAAAGCCAGCATAGGAAAGAAGGAAGTTTATCTCACATACATCTCTCTCCAACTTTGCAGAATTGCCAACAAACATCTTTTCAGATGCCATTGGCCAGAATTTGGTAAAATGCACACCTCTGGGGCTTCCCTGGTGGCGCGGTGGTTGAGAGTCCGCCTGCCGATGCAGGGGACACGGGTTCGTGCCCCAGTCCGGGAAGATCCCACATGCCACGGAGCGGCTGGGCCCGTGAGCCATGGCCGCTGAGCCTGCGTGACCGGAGCCTGTGCTCCGCAACAGGAGAGGCCACAACAGTGAGAGGCCCATGTACCGCAAAAAAAAAAGCCAGACAAGTGTGGTGAGGATGTGGAGAAAATGGAACCCTTGTATAGTGTGGGTGCAGCCAGTATGTAAAACAGTATGGAGGTTCCTCAAAAAATTAAAAATATATTTATCATATGATCGAGCAATCCTACTTTTGGCTGTTTATCCAAAAGAATTGAAATCAGGATCTGGAAGTGATATTAGCACACTAATGACCATTGCAGCACTATTCTCAAGGTGTGGAAACAACCTAAAGTTCTACTGATGGACATTGACAGATGAATGGATTTTTAAATTTTTTTTGAATTTTATTTTATTTTTTTATGCAGCAGGTTCTTATTAGTTATCTATTTTATACATGTTAGTTGTATATAGGTCAATCCCAATCTCCCAATTCATCCCACCACCACCCCCACACCCCCCAACCCTGCTTTCCCCCCTTGGTGTCCATACGTTTGTTCTCTACATCTGTGTCTCTATTTCTGCCTTGCAGACCAGTTCATCTGTACCATTTTTCTAGATTCCATGTATATGCGTTAATGTACGATATTTGTTTTTCTCTTTCTGACTTACTTCACTCTGTGTGACAGTCTCTAGGTCCATCCACATCTCTACAAATGACCCAATTTCATTCCTTTTTATGGCTGAGTAGTATTCCATTGTATATATGTACCACAACTTCTTTATCCATTCGTCTGTCGATGAGCATTTAGGTTGCTTCCACGACCTGGCTATTGTAAATAGTGCTGCAGTGAACACTGGGGTGTGTGTGTCTTTTTGAATTATGGTTTTCTCTGGGTATATGCCCAGTAGTGGGATTGCTGGGCCATATGGTAATTCTATTTTTAGTTTTTTAAGGAACCTCCATACTGGCTGTATCAATTTACATCCCCACCAACGGTTCAAGAGGGTTCCGTTTTCTCCACACCCTCTCCAGTATTTGTTGTTTGTAGATTTTCTGATGATGCCCATTCTGACCAGTGTGAGGTGATACCTCATTGTAGTTTTGATTTGCATTTCTCTAATGACTAGTGATATTGAGCAGCTTTCCATATGCCTCTTGGCCATCTGTATGTCTTCTTTGGAGAAATGTCTATTTAGGTCTTCTGCCCTTTTTTTTTTTGCGGTACACGGGCCTCTCACTGTTGTGGCCTCTCCGGTTGTGGAGCACAGGCTCCGGACGCGCAGGCTCAGCGGCCATGGCTCACGGGCCCAGCCACTCTGTGGCATGTGGGATCTTCCCGGACCGGGGCATGAACCCGTGTCCCCTGCATCTGCAGGCGGACTCTCAACCACTGTGCCACGAGGGAAGCCCCCACTTTTTGATTGGGTTGTTTGTTTTTTGATATTGAGCTGCATGAGCTGCTTGTATATTTTGGAGGTTAATACATTTGCAAGTATTTTCTCCCATTCTAAGGGTTGTCTTTTCATCTTCTTGATAGTTTGCTTTGCTGTGCAAAAGTTTTTAAGTTTCATTAGATCCCAACTGTTTATTTTTGGTTTTATTTCCATTATTCTAGGAGGTGGGTCAAAAAAGATCTTGCTGTGATTTATGGCAAAGAGTGTTCTTCCTTTGTTTTTCTCTAAGAGTTTTATAGTGTCCGGTCTTACATTTAGGTCTTTAATCCATTTTGAGTTTATTTTTGTGTATGATGTTAGGAAGTGTTCTAATTTCATTCTTTTACATGTAGCTGTCCAGTTTTCCCAGCACCACTTATTGAAGAGGCTGTCTTTTCTCCATTGTATACTCTTGCCTCCTTTGTCAGAGATGAGTTGACCATATGTGTGTGGGTTTACTTCTGGGCTTTCTATCCTGTTCCATTGATCTATATTTCTGTTTTTGTGCCAGTACCATATTGTCTTGATTACTGTAGCTTTGTAGTATAGCCTGAAGTCAGGGAGTCTCATTCCTCCAGCTCCATTTTTTTCCCTCAAGACTGCTTTGGCTATTTGGGGTCTTTTGTGTCTCCATACAAATTTTAAGACTTTTTGTTCTAGTTCTGTAAAAAATGCCATTGATACTTTGATAGGGATTGCATTGAATCTGTAGATTGCTTTGGGTAGTATAGTCATTTTCACAATATTGATTCTTCCCATCCAAGAACATGGTCTATCTCTCCATCTGTTTGTGTCATCTTTGATTTGTTTCATCAGTGTCCTATAGTTTCCTGAGTACAGGTCTTTTACCTTCTGAGGTAGGTTTATTCCTAGGTATTTTATTCTTTTTGTTGCAATGGTGAATGGGATTGTTTCCTGAATTTCTCTTTCTGATCTTTCGTTGTTAGTATGTAGGAAGGCAAGAGATTTCTGTGCATTAATTTTGTATTCTGCAGCTTTACCAAATTCATTGATTAGCTCTAGCAGTTTTCTGGTGGCATCTTTAGGATTCTCTATTTATAGTATCATGTCATCTGCATACAGTGACAGTTTTACTTTTTCTTTTCCAATTTGTATTCCCTTTATTTCCTTTTCTTCTCTTATTGCCATGGCTTGGACTTCCAAGACTTTGTTGAATAATAGTGGTGAGAGTGGGCAGCCTTGTCTTGTTCCTGATCTTAGAGGAAATGCTTTCAGTTTTTCACCACTGAGAATGATGTTTGCTGTGGGTTTGTCGTATATGGCCTTATTATGTTGAGGTAGGTTCCCTCTCTGCTCACTTTCTGAGACTTTTTATAAATGGGTGTTGAATTTTGTCAAAAGCTCTTCCTGCATCTATTGAGACGATCATATGGTTTTTCGTCTTCAATTTGTTAATATAGTGTATCCCATTGATTGGTTTGCATATATTGAAGAATCCTTGCATCTCTGGGATACATCCCACTTGATCATGGTGTATGATCCTTTAAATGTGTTGTTGGATTCTGTTTGTTAGTATTTTGTTGAGGATTTTTGCATCTACTTTCATGAGTGGTATTGGTCTGTAGTTTTTTTGTGGTATCTTTGGTTTTGGTGTCAGGGTGATGGTGGCCTCATATAATGAGTTTGGAAGTGTTTCTTCCTCTGCAGCTTTTTGGAAGAGTTTGAGAAGGATGGGTGCTAGCTCTTCTCTAAATGATAGAATTTGCCTGTGAAGCCATCTGGTCCTGGACTTTTGTTTGTGGGAAGGTTTTTAATCACAGTTTCAATTTATTACTTGTAATTGGTCTGTTCGTATTTTCTATTTCTTCCTGGTTCAGCCTTGGAAGGTTATACCTTTCTAAGAATTTGTCCGTTTCTTCCAGGTTGTCCTTTTTATTGGCATAGAGTTGCTTGTAGTAGTCTCTAAGGATGCTTTGTATTTCTGTGGTGTCCATTGTAAGTTCTCCTTTTTCATTTCTAATTTTATTGATTTGAGTCCTCTCCCTCTTTTTCCTTAATGAGTCTGGCTAAAGGTTTGTCCATTTTGTTTATCTTTTCCAAGAAGCAGCTTTTAGTTTTATTGATCTTTGCTATTGTTTTCTTTGTTTCTATTTCATTTATTTCTGCTCTGATGTTTACGATTTCTTTCCTTCTACTAACTTTGGGTTTTGTTTGTTCTTCTTTCTCTAGTTTCTTTAGGTATAAGGTTAGATTGTTTATTTGAGATTTTTCTTGTTTCTTGAGATAGGATTGTATTGCTATAAACTTTCCTCTTAGAACTGCTTTTGCTGCATCCTGTAGGTTTTGGATTGTTGTGTTTTCATTGTCATTTGTCTCTAGGTATTTTTTGATTTCCTCTTTGGTGATCTCTTGGTTATTTTGTAATGTATTATTTAGCCTCCATGTGTTCGTGTTTTTTATGTTTTTTTCCTTGTAATTGATACCTTGTCTCATAGGGTTGTGGTTGGAAAGGATATGATTTCCATTTTCTTAAATTTGCCGAGACTTCATTTGGGACCCAAGATGTGATCTATCCTGGAGAATGTTCCATGTGCCTTTGAGAAGAAAGTGTAATCTGCTGTTTTCAGATGGAATGTCCTATAAATATCAGTTAAATCTATCTGGTCTCTTGTGTCATTTAAAGCTTGTGTTTCCATATTAATTTTCTTTCTGGATAATCTCTCCATTGGTGAAAGTGGAGTGTTAAAGTCCCCCACTATTATTGTGTTACTGTTGATTTCCCCTTTTATAGCTGTTAGCATTTGCCTTATTTATTGAGGTGCTCCTATGTTGGGTGCATATATATTTATAATTGTTATATCTTCCTCTTGGATTGATCCCTTGATCATTATGTAGTGTCCTTCCTTGTCTCTTGTAACATTCTTTATTTTAAAGTCCATTTTATCTGATATGAGTATTGCTACTCCAGCTTTCTTTTGATTTCCATTTGCATGCAATATCTTTGTCCATCCCCTCACTTTCAGCCTGTATGTGTCCCTAGGTCTGAAGTGGGTCTCTTGTAGACAGCATATATATGGGTCTTGTTTTTGTATCCATTCAGCGAGCCTGTGTCTTTTGGTTGGAGCATTTAATCCATTCACATTTAAGGTAATTATTGATATGTATATTCCTATTACCATTTTCTTAATTGTTTTGGGGTTTTTTTGGTAGGTCCTTTGCTTGTCTTGTGTTTCCCACTTAGAGAAGTTCCTTTAGCATTCATTATAGAGCTGGTTTAGTGGTGAGGAATTCTCTTAGCTTTTGCTTTTATGTGAAGCTTTGATTTCTCTGTCAAATCTGAATGAGATCCTTGCTGGGTAGAGTAATCTTGGTTGTAGGTTCTTCCCTTTCATCACTTTAAATGTATTATGCTACTCCTTTCTGGCCTGTAGAGTTTCTGCTGAGACATCAGCTGTGAACCTTAGGGGAGTTCCCTTGCGTGTTATTTGTCGTTTTTCCCTTGTTGCTTTTAATAATTTGTCTTTGTCTTTAAATCTTGTCAATTTAATTACTATGTGTCTCGGCCTGTTTCTCCTTGGGTTTGTCCTGCCTGGGACTCTGCACTTCCTGGACTTGGGTGGCTATTTCCTTTTCCATGTTAAGGAAGTTTTCAACTATAATTTCTGCAGATATTTTTTCGGGTCCTTTCTCTCTCTCTTCTCCTTCTGGGACCCCTATAATGCAAATATTGTTGCATTTAATGTTGTCCCAGAGGTCTCTTAGGCTGTCTACATTTCTTTTCATTCTTTTTTCTTTATTCTGTTCCACAGCAGTGAATTCCACCATTCTGTCTTCCAGGTCACTTATCCGTTCTTCTGCCTCAGTTATTCTGCTATTGATTCCTTCTAGTGTATTTTTCATTTCAGTTATTGTATTGTTCGTCTCTGTTTGTTTGTTCTTTAATCCTTCTAGGTCTTTTTTGAACATTTCTTGCATCTCCTTGGTCTTTGCCTCCATTCTTTTTCCAAGGTCCTGGATCATCTTCACTATCATTATTCTGAATTCTTTTTCTGTAAGGTTGACTGTCTCCACTTCATTTAGTTGTTTTTCTGGGGTTTTGTCTTTTTGCTTCATCTGGTACATAGTCCTTTGCCTTTTCATTTTGTCTGTCTTTCTGTGACCATGGTTTTTGTTCCAAAGACTGCAGGATTGTCACTCTTCTTGCTTCTGCTGTCTGCCCTCTGGTGGATGAGGCTATCTAAGAGGCTTGTGCAAGCTTCCTGATGGGAGGGACTGGTGGTGGGTAGAGCTGGGTCTATCTATTTTATATATAGTAGTGTGTATATGTTAATCCAAAACTCCTAATTTATCCCCCCCCTCCCCCCACTTTCCCTTTTGGTAACCATAAGTTTGTTTTCTATGCCTTTGAGTCTCTCTCTGTTCTGTAAGTAAGTTCTTGTGTATCACTTTTTTGGATTCCATGTATAAGTGATATATGATATTTGTCTTTTCTCTGTGACTTACTTCTACTAGTATGATAATCTCTAGGTCCATCCATGTTGCTGCAAATGGCATTATTTCATTCCTTTTTATGGCTGAGTAGTATTCCATTGTGTATGTATACCACATATTCTTTATCTGTTCATCTGTTGATGGACATTTAGGTTGCTTCCATGTCTTGACTATTGTAAATAGTGCTGGTATGAACACTGCGGGGTATGTATCTCTTCGAATTAGAGTTTTCTCTGGATATATGCCCAGGAGTGGGATTGCTGGATCATATAGTAACACTATTTTTAGTTTTTTTTAAGGAACCTCCATACTGTTCTCCATAGTGACTGTACCAATTTACATTCCCACCAACAGTGTAGGAGGGTTCCCTCTTCTCCACACCCTCTCCAGCATTTATTGTTTGTAGATTTTTGTAAGATGGCCATTCTGACCAGTGTGAGGTGATACTTCATTTAGTTTTGATTTACATTTCTCTAATAATTAGTGATATTGATCATCTTTTCATGTGCCTGTCAGCCATCTGTATGTCTTCTTTGGAGAGATGTCTGTTTAGGTCTTCTACCCATTTTTTGATTGAGTTGTTTTTTGTTCTTTGTTTTTTTTATAAGCTGTAGGAGTTCTTTGTATATTTTGGACATTAATCCCTTGCTGGTCACATCATTTGCAAATATTTTTTCCCAGTCTATAGGTTGTCTTTTTGTTTTGTTTATGGTTTCCTGTGTTGTGCAAAAGCTTTTAAGTTTGATTAAGTCCCATTTGGTTATTTTTATTTTTATTTCCATTTCTTTAGAATGTTTTCTTTTTTACTCATTTGTTTATTTAACTTTTTACGTAGTTCTCTTGTATGATGTTGATGATTTTTGAAAACTTTTAAGTTGTGCCCAGCTCATGATAGGCCTGCAATAAATATTTGTTAAATAAACACTGGCTATTTAAAGAAAGCAGTACATGTACATTATAAAAATAGGCAAAAAAAGGGCATAAATAAAAAGGAAAAAAACACCTTATAATTTTGCCAGAGATCACTCCTGTTATTTACCTTTGTATAGAATTTTCCAGATTTTATTTTTAAAAATTCATAAGTAATACATAGTTTTTTAAAGATGGGAGTTTTGGGGCTTCCCTGGTGGCGCAGTAGTTGAGAGTCTGCCTGCCGATGCACGGGACACGGGTTCGTGCCCTGGTCCGGGAAGATCCCCCATGCCGCGGAGCGGCTAGGCCTGTGAGCCATGGCCACTGAGCCTGCACGTCTGGAGCCTGTGCTCCGCAACGGGAGAGGCCACAACAGTGAGAGGCCCGTGTACCGCAAAAAAAAAAAAAAAAAAGATGGGAGTTTTGTAACTTTTCCTCTTATCTTCTTTTTTCCCCATCTTTCTTTCTCCCTGACTCTCCCATTAATATTATCGAGAAAATTAGCTACCAGATGGCTCAGAAATGCATGTCAGCAGCAAAGTGACCCCCTTCTAGGAAGGAAGCAACTGTTGGGGATGGAATATCACCTGATCCATAATTTACTCATCAGAGATTTCCAGGCACTTTATTAGGCCTTCTGGAGAGTGAATCAGTGTCCCTCTGTGTTGGACACTGCACCAAACTCAGCATTTTTCTCTTGCAGGCATTTTCAGCTTTTTACTATGTGATGGAGTTTTTAAACCTTACATCAGAGGAAGAGTCAACTGATAAAAAGATGATTAACACGTTGGAAAAGTTCTGCTCTCAGCCTTGGGAAGAGGTAAGTGACTAGAAACAGCATCTCTTACCATTGCTTTCTGCCCTTGACAGCATGGAGGATGTGAGTGTGCTCTTCAAGTCATGCTAATGTGACCAAGATCCAGCACTCATGTTAGAGAAGCCTAGATGGTACACTCAGTTAAGAGTAAGTTCACTGGCATTCCTTGATAACTTGGCATACAGTGGCTTAAACAGAAAAGGTCTTATTGTTTTCACCTAATTCAAAGTCCGGAAGTAGTCAGTTGCCGGCATGGAGTGGGCAGCTTGACTATCTCAGCCATTCTTCAGTTGTTGTTAGACCTGTTTCCTCATGGAAGCAAGGTGTAGCTTCAGGGATCACAGCCGTGTTCGAGGTCAGAAGAAGGATAGTGCCAGATACATCTGTTCCTTTTTATAGGAAAGCAAAAGCTATCCCAGAAGCTCCTAGTAGTCTTTTCTCTTACGTCTCATTGGCCAGGACTGGCGGGGAAAGCAGGATGCAGGACTTTATGACTGGCTTAGAGCCCTAGATCCATCATGAGCTACTTCCTGGAGCTGAGCACATTGTCGCCCACTCCTTCCCCCAACTCCCAGGGAAGACAGGCAATTCACAGAATCTGCCACAGACACCATTGTGGTAAGACCCTTTTTTCATCAGACAGGTCCAGTGTATCTCTTACTTATTCATAAATTTGAAGCACAAAATTTTTCTTGTCTGAGGCACTGAGTCATTCAAGATCCAGTGCTACCTGATGAAAGTTTCCAGGGACGTGAGAGAAAGATATGGAGTCTACTCTGATTTATAAAAACAGATCACCTAGGAGTGGCTCAAAACAGCAGCTGTTTTAAGTTGACAAAAGTGACTTAAAATGAGTGATTTTAAGAGAGATTGCAAAAGTGATTGCACGAGTGACCAGTGCTTTCATTCTGAAGATATGCAGCTAATTAAAAATGAAGGCTGTTCTCGTGGGCACTGACAACAGAGGAAGGAAGGTTGTGCAAGAGCCTGGACATCTGAAATTTTCTCCAAGTATTTTGTCTGAGTTAGAACATGAAGGAAGGGTATTCAGCGCTTTTGGAAAGAGCAGCTCAAATATGCCTCAGCACTTTACAAAACAGTTAGGGGAGGCTTTTTGCAGCTAGTGGTGATCTGTGGAGAAAGACGAGCATCTCGGGTTCTTGAGCAAAATGCTTCCGAAACTGGGTTCCAGAGCAGTGTTTGTCAAATGTTACTATGTATGTGATCATACGGGGATCATATTAAAAAGTACATTCTGCCCTGGCAGATCAGGGGTGAGGATTAACAAGTGCTCAGGGGATGCTGCTGCTGCTAGTCCAGAGACCTAACTGAGTGGCAAGGCTTTTTATGAAACTGTTTCCTCAAGATGCTTATAGAGGCTCTAAACCAAAGACTTTGGTCAAGAGCATACAGAAAACTCTGGTTAAACAAAGATTAATAGATTTCTTTCATGCAAGATTTTTCACAGTTTTTAATATGCTAATGTGATTGTGAAACTCAAGTTTCACAAGGGATGGCAAACTATAGTAAAATTCAGTGTGGTTGAACCTATCAGACCACAGAAAGTACTTTTTTCCTAGAACACTTACCAATGTCTCATAGAACCCTGTGGAGGAAAAGATTCCTTAACAGACCCTAAACTGTGAACCCCTGCACCCACTGAAGGAGTGCAACACCACTCCCAAAGCTCTCTGCAGGGGCCAACTCTCAGGCCCATGTGAACTGGGGCTTTTTCCTCTCTTGATCAGCTCTAATAGCGAACATGAGGGCTTTGGAGAAGTGCCTGTTGTTGTACAAGTGTGATGTTTTCTTCACTTCACTTCCAGCTGCAGATGTATTTTGGTGAAGTGAAGGAGAAGTACCTGAGTGAATACTGCTTTTCTGGCACCTACATCCTGGCTCTTCTTCTGAATGGCTATCATTTTACAGCTGAGTCCTGGAAGAATATTCACTTCATGGGCAAGGTTTGTTAGGTTGCGGGGAGGTTGGGTGGTAGTGACTGAAGCAGCTTTGGGCTTAAAAGAGGTAGGAGTCAACCCGATTTAATTTTGGGGTGATGTCCTGTCCTACCACTTCACCTCTAACCCAAGATGGCACTTTGTGTCCAGCTCTCCTGATAATGTTGACCAGCCTGTTGTGGATATCCTATCTAAGGAGGGCTACTTGCATTCTCAGCCTCGCCTTGCTGCTCACATAACAGTGACTAACCCCTTGTAAAACAAAAAATGAGATAGTAATGTAACAGTATTTCAACAGCCACAGTGATGCTGCGTGCTGACTTCAACATCCATCTCAAAGGCCCCTTCGTGAATCCAGAAGGGATGATCATGGTTTGTCACAAGGGGTTAAGGCCTTGTTGGTTGTAGCTTCAAGACTCACCAATCTGAAAGCTCGTTGTGAAGAATGAGATGAGTGGCTGTGAATGGGGGCCTTTGCTTAGAAGCCAGGCTTAGCATGAGCCTTAAGCAAGCCCATAGCTTTGCATTACCATATCATTACCTGAAGGTATCCAGGCATAGGGCAACATTACATTGGCAGCGAGACTCATGGGCACACTCATGCTTGATGAAAAATATCAAGAGCAGTGTTTCTCTACCTTTTAAACCCATACCCACTAATGGCAAAAGCAATTTACCCCTTTATTAAATATGGTGACTTCAAGCAAAACAAAGCATTGAGGCAGCAGAGGGCTGTAGTAGCCTTAAAGATACTAGTTTCATCACACTCTTATCAATATTGACTTTGCTAATTAAAATCTTTTCCTTGTTTTAACATCCCAGTCTTCCTTCCATTCCATCAGTGTTTGAGACATATGTCTATGTCAAATTTACCTAGTGATTTATATTCTTTGAACTCCAATCTATGATCCATTATTTCTAAACCTTAAGTGATAACTCCTCTAACTCTGGAGGCTTCTTTGACACAGGCGGTCAGATATGGTTCCATTCCCCATAAAGGGACATGGGCCTTTTTACAGATTATTAATTCCCAGTACTGGTAAAGGTTTAGGGGAGAGGAGCATTCCACATGGTATTGGTTGGAATGTAAACTGGCATAACCTTTGGGAAGACTGTTTTGACAACATGAGCTAGGAGCCTTAAAACATGTATATCATTTTGTCCAGTTGCTCCATTTCTAGGATTTATAAATAATTGAACAAAGTGAGTAAAAATGAACATATAAGGCAGTTCATGTCAGTGATGATGTTGCAGAAATCCCTTAAGAGACATGGGATGATGTTTATAAGGAATTGTTAAGTGAATAATTCTACATACAATTTAATTCCATTTTTTATGTGAAAAACATGCACAGAGAGGACTGGTAGGACATGTCACAAAATGATAATAGCAGCAACTTCTGAATGATGAAGTAGAGGTGGTTTTTATTTTCTTTTTGAGGATTATCTGTACTTCATGATTTTCCTACCATGAATGACCACATACAACTCATGTAATACAAACATTTCCACAATTCTTTGTTATTCATAGACTACCTGTATTTCAGTACATTTTGAGGTGACTTGAAAATATTCCTAGGAAGATGGCAGGGTTGGAGAATGTTTTTTTATTTAAGAAGAATCCTTTCTCATGCATATGCAGTCTTTCATCTTAGTCAAGTAAGACTGTCTTGCTGGGATTATTCCCCAGTTTTTCCCTAGTTGAATCATAAAAGAAGTCCTGGTTTCATATGGATGAGATTCCTGGGCCTGACATTGATACACAAGGCCAGGGACAGTCATTATTCTCTCACCCTTTGCCCGCTTCCTGTCATCCACCCCCACTTCCCCACCCCAGCCACCCACATTCACACAAACAGCAAAAGAAGAATGCAAATTTCCAAAGGCCTAATTTGAATTAAGTTCTTCTAGGCAGGAGAACTGAGCCGTCATTCCCCAAATTCCTCTCTGAATTGGGGGAATTTAGTAGTGAGGCCCCACACTCTCCTTCTTAATCACTTGCTCCTGCTCCATTTTCCCCACAGCCATCATCCCAATTCAGAATATAAAAGTAATCCATTTAGAGAACTGAACATGGTGCTCTCACTTCCTGGTTGCTCAGTGTTATGGATAGGGTTGCATGAAAGCTCATTTAATCCTCAGACCAGAAACAACAGACTTTCCCCACTGTTTGCAGGTCCGGAGCACCAGCGTGGGGTGGACTTTGGGCTACATGCTGAACCTGACCAACATGATCCCATCTGAAGAGCCACTGTCCACACCTCTCTCCCACTCCACATATGTCTTCCTCATGGTCCTCTTCTCCCTGATCCTGGTCATAGTGGTCATAATAGGCATATTTATCTTTCACAAGCCTTCGTATTTCTGGAAAGACATGGTATAGCAGGAACAGCTGAAATCTGCTGGCTGGAGTGAGAAGAAAACTTGCCCAGGGAGCACTTTCCTCCACAGTGGTGTACAAGGCCAGTCTTGACCAGCATGAAGCTTCCTTGGCTTTTGCTGAAGCCTTTCCATGGGAGGTATTTACCACCCACTGCCTCAAGAACTTCCTGGCAGACATTGTCTCTTTTGTGAGTCTCTCCAAACTCCCCCCCTTTCTCTTTTGTACTCTGTGCTTGTGTAGCTCTTGAAGACCTGCCTCCTTTCATGATAGTTGCTTTATAAAAGAACAATATTGACTTTATCCAGAAGAACTGAGAGTCCTGAGTCCTGTGCTGGGAAGTTGCCCTGGCTAAAAGAAGAATCTTGGGAACTGATTCACTTGTGGTCTTACAGACCCTTTCTCTCTCCTGTTTCCCGTTTATTAAGAAAGCCATCCAATGCCTTTGGAGAAGACAGACACATATCCCATGCCCAGCCTGCCCTTTGCATGGGAGAATTTTCTAGTCTAGGCAAGTATGTGCTAGGGCGAAAGAGTCCTACAAAGGAATTTATGGGAGGTGCAATTAATCCAATAGTTAATCCAAGACAAAAGAGGGATGTGGGTAAGTCACATATTCCTGGGTGATGCCAAAATGCTAGAGTGGGACAGCCAGACCAGAGATTATTTTAAAAGCTGCTGTACATATACATAGGCATTCAAATATCAGGGCATATTATCTGGTAGGTGTACACATGTCAGGAAGAAAAATACAGTTACAACACAAGGTCAGGAAAGTGCATCCTCCAACACATCTGCTGGGGTTTTGTTTTTATTGCAGTAAAACACATATAACCTAAAATTCACCATTATGACATATACAATTTAGTGGCATTTAGTACATTCACAATGTTGTGCAGCTGTCACCAATATCTAATTCCAGAATATTTTCATCACTAAGAAATTATTGGCTGGGGATAAGACCATCCTGTGGTAGGCTTGTCAACCTTTCCATTTAGCCAAGCATGCTAACCAGTTGCACCACAAAGATGCTCACTGAGTTTTAAAGCCATGCCATATCTTACTGCCCCAGGGTTTAATTTAGTGAAAGAGTTGCATTAGTGAAGAGTGGCATGGCTTTTTTGCTGTCATGGTATTTATACAACAAAATGTGCAAGGAACCACATCTGTAAGTTTTGCTGCCGGTTCTAGGTACTTTTGCTCTAAGCATCTTAGGCATAGACATTTTTGCCACAAACATTTCACTGCAAATAATTGGCTCTAAAGCAATTTTGCCATAATAGATAAAATAATGGAAAATCAAAGAGGGATAATTAAAAGGACATAATGAAACGAATAACAAAATTCAAGACTTATTGTGAAATATAAAATATTTGAGTACATTTAAAGTATGTGTTGATTCATGGCAATACTGTGCACATAACTGATTTTATTTTGTGGGTTGTATCTAAGCACTTGTCTTCCAAGTCTTACATAGCATTTTATACTTTTTTTTTTTGCTCATTGATTTGTCTCCTCGTTCTGCATCGTACTTTTTTTTTTTGCTAAAATTTCTTCCTTTGTAAAGAGTGATGTAAGTTTCCAAATACTTAGAGGCATCTTTGTAACTGAGCTTTGTGTTGTGTTTTGAAAGGTTCTACACGGTTGTTGTTTGTTCTTGGCATATTGTCACATGTCCATTGATAGATGTTCCAAAGTTGTGTGGGAAATGTGGGTTCACCTCCGCACCTTCCAGGACCTTGGCGTCTTTCTCCTCCACTGTAGTGTGTTTCAAAATAGGAAACCAACTTTTGGGGCAAATCACTGTCATATGCCAGCTCGATAAAGCCATCAATAATGTCGCCAACTGGAAGAAATGCTAACATATTCCAACCAGTTGAAACCAAACTGTCAAACCAAAAACTGTCAACCAGTTATTTTATCTTTCACAGGGAATTTGCCTTACAGCCAATTAGTTATTCGACGAAAGTGTTTGTTGCAGAAGTGCTTGTGGCAGAGATGTCAATGGCAAAGATGCTTATGGTGAAGGTGCCTAGAACCCATTTCAACATGTAATTAATATATGTTATTAATGAGATTTTTGTTTTTTAATATTAAGTTTTTGAAATCTGTTGTGTATATTACACTTACAGCACATCCTAATTAGGACTCCATTTCAAGTGCTCAATAGCCACGTGTGGCTAGCAGCTACCATATTGAATAGCACATGTCTAAAAGTACATTCAAAGCTAAAAAGACACAGGCAATAACACTTTGTCTTTCTCTTGAGGGGGGGAATTTTCTTTAAACAGCTATAGATGCTATAACATTCCTGATATTATTTATTATATATGAAGTTTAACATTATTCTTAACAAGCTTTTAACATCCCAGTGCAGAATTTCACATTACTCCTCAGGTTTTGTTGCCTTTTTTGTGAAGACACAGATGCCTATTATTCAGGCCAAGGTGCCTGATGACAGACCTTCGGGAAATTTAATCTGGATTCAAAGATAATACAAGATAATTGGATGCTTATATTCTATGGTCAAAATGTAAATTTGAATATTAAAATAAAGATTAGTCTCTTAATAGCTCACAGAGCAAAGTTTACCATATAATAGTAACATTACTATTAAAATATATTCTCATTTATTGTCAGTTTGAAAGATGAGCTGAATTTCACTGAAATTGGTCTCATTCCTCTCTGATTCAGAGTCTAATAGTTGCTATCTTGTTAGAACATGAGTTGCTCATAGTTAGCCTGTGCTAGCCAGGTATTTCTTTCAGTTTGTGCTAGTTTTATAATTCTTTTAAATTTCTTATAACAACCTCAAAATTTCAGTGGCTTACCACAATAAACATTGATTTTTCATGTTCATGGGTCTGCAAGTCAGCTAGTATATCTACTTGCGGTGGTAGGTCTGGTTCAGGCCTGCTCCATATATCTCCCACTCTCCTTGTCTGGTGGCTTCCTGAGCCATGTTCCCATGATGAGTGGTAGAGGCACAAGAAAGGGAGAGAAAATACAGGAGGCCTCTTCAGGCCTTGGCCAGGACAGGCCCCTGTCACTTCCATCCACATTCTACTGACCAAAATAAGTCATATGGCTAAGCCCAACATTAGGAAGCTGGAGAAACACTGGGAGGAATGGCAGAGTCATGTGGCAAAGGACATGAATAACTAATTCTAACACAGAAAATTCGTGAAACATTGGGCACAACGATTCAATCTACCACAGCGTCTCATTAGCTGAAACATAAAGTACGTTTTCTTCAAATTAAAATCTACTTATCTTGGGCTTCCCTGGTGGTGCAGTGGTTAAGAGTCCGCCTGCCGATGCAGGGGACACGGGTTCATGCCCCAGTCCGGGAGGATCCCACATGCTGTGGAGCGGCTGGGCCCGTGAGCCATGGCCACTGAGCCTGCGTGTCCGGAGCCTGTGCTCCGCAACGGGAGAGGCCACAACAGTGAGAGGTCCGTGTACTGCAAAAAAAAAAAAAAATTACTTATCTTGCCAAAGAATATTCTTCTTAAAAAATGTCATTTCTTCTGTGACATCATCAATTACAACTTTTTTTCATGGTCTTAATCAGGGTGCTCTGGCGGCTCTTAAATTAGTCTCACATTCTAAAGTGACAGATTTCCTAAGAGACCATCTATTTATTTTCCTTATATGTTTAGGACAGTGTTTAGTTAACTACCCAAGTTTTTATTTGCACAAGAACCTAATACAACTGAACATAATTGGTTTTATCACAGGTATACTGGATTTTTTAATAAAGGGGAAAGGAATGTCTCCAAAAGCCTTCTCTTTCAAAAGTGGCATTTCGGACTGTGCATGTGGTAAAAGCATTGTTGTACTTTTTACATTTCTCTATTTTAAGTAATTTAATTTCTAAATTTAAATTGATGATATAATGATGGCACCACTCTCATCAGCATCTGAGTTGACTTTTTATTTTTATATCCCTTTTGCATGATGAATAGCAGAGAACATGGATTAGTCAATGAGAAGTGAGATACAGTCACCTAAGAAACAACAAAATTTCTTATAATGAAGTTCTAAGAAGAGAGGGGAGGAAAGTCATGTGAGCCAGATAGGGGACAGTATGTATTTAGGATGACTTAAACTGAACTCTACCCTGCCTCCTAAACCTGCTCCTCCTCCTGCATTTTATCATGATTAATGCCACCACTGCCTCTAGTAACCAAGATCAGAATCAACTTTATCGATGTTGAAGTGACAGGGGCCTGTCCTGGCCAAGACCTGCCCATTCTGCCTTTGCAGCATTTTTCATTTTGATTCCCTTTTACAATCTTGTCCTTATCACCCCAGTAGAGACCTGATATCAGGAACAGTAACTTGTCTCCAAACTATTACTTCCAGATTAATCTTTATAAAAAGTGGGCTTAATCACATTGCTCCCCAACTAAAACTGATGGTGACTTTCTATTGCCTATGAAATAAGGTCAAACTCTCCAGCAGACATTCAGGACCTTTGGTCCATGCCTATAAGCTCTCCCAGGCTTACATCCCACTTTACCCTCTGATGTTCCTTACACTCTAGCCAAGGTAGACTGATTCTTTACCCAGAGCTGTTCAGGTTATTTGCTCAACTTGGAGCACCTTTACCCCACTCTGCGTTTAAGGCTCAGCTCAAATGACCCTTCTTCGGTGAAGTCTTCTCCAAATCTCTAAGTCAGAATAAACTGCTGCTTCCCTGTGCTATGACAGCCCTTTACCTGGGCCTCCAATAGAGCATTCAGACCATTCTATTCAGTATTTGGGTTAAGCTTCTTGGGGACAAGATATGTGACCTATATCTTTTTGAAAAGTTGGGCTCAGGGGTATTTTAGCAGAAACTAAGGTAACAGTCCTAGTTAATCGCTCTGTCCATTGCCAGATGGGCTGGTCCATACCACTATTTCTGCATCAGTATCCTTATTTATGTTATCTCTTGACATGACCATCCTCTTCCTCCAGCTTTTGAGGACCAGCTCAGCTCCTGATTCCTCAGTGAAGCCTCTTTGATATTACCCGCATTGAACTTTTCCTTCTGGACCATGCATTTAGTTTCCATAGAGCTCACTACATGGGAATTGATTGTACATATTATTAAAGTAGAATTTTAAGGATTAGAATGTACCTTAAAAGGTAATGTTTATCAAAATTTAATGTGTATAAGACTCACCCAGGGGTCTTGTTGAAGTAAAAATTACTTAATTTTAATTAATAAAAAATGATTCAGTAGGTCTGGGGTGAGGCTGAGGTGTTCTACATTTCTAACAAGCTGCCAGGTAATGCCACTACAACTGTATGGGGACC